CCTTGTCCCCTAGCTCAGCGTGACACGATCCCATTGTCCCGGTAACTTAATGTTGTTTTTTGGAGRGAGGCTAGTGAAATGGCATTTATTCTTAGGCCTGTTTTGTCTGACATAAACAGAGTCCTTATGTTTCATGAATGGCTTGACCTATGTTAATTATGTACGTTAGTTATTTTATACATGTATGTTGTATATATATATGTATGTTATATGTATATATGGGTGTTAACATACTATGTATGTTAGCAATTTTGGTAGGCTGATTTTGATAGAAATGGAGCCAAAAGCGAGTGTGCATCTCCTAGCATAACCCTTCTTGTGCTGATCCCTATTCACTCTGAAGCCTACTGATTACACCACAGTGCTCTTTGGGGAAGTAACTGGTAACCTGTGACTTCAAGCCACTTTCAGTTGCACAAATTTAACTATTAGTGGCCCCACGAACACACAGTGGCCAAGAGACACAGTGCGAGTGCCAGGAGGTTTGTGCTCCTGGAAGGAAAGGAGCAGCTTTGGCTCCTGATTCCGGCCTGGGAGAGTGAAGGGAGCCACCAGAGCAGGGCGCTGGCAGGAGGACTGTTTGCACCGTTGTCCTTTTATCATTGCAACTGTTTGGGGTAAACAGTGTCTCGGAATTGTGTCCCTGGCAGGAGCAGGGTTGCAGTTACTCCCTTGTCCTGCTATAAATAGGAGGTTGCTGATGTCTGCAGCGGTGCAGAACCCAAGTGTGTTTTACTCCTGCTTTGTAGCCTGACTTACCTCTGTTAATACCTGCCTGCCTTTTAAATGGTAAATATTTCTACCTTAAAATGCAGCAGGACACCTGGAAGCAGGGCAGTAGCTCTCCATAGCTGGAACTAGAACTTAGGGGTGAAAATGCTGTTTTTTTGGTTAAAAAAAACCAAACCCCAGTAGCTTTTGAGGCTGCTTAACAGTGTCAGCCAAGGTGTTAAGGATACAAAGTTTACTAATTTTAATGGAAGGAGGTTYCTAGGGAGAGGAGTGGGAGGTTGATGTCCCCAGTGAAGACCTTGCTGTGAGGTTCAGCTCTTTACAAGACACTGGAGAGTCCGTGTGGGAGCCCGACATGCAGCTGCTCCCACAACAGGGACGGACGTTTTTGCAGTGCTGCCCTCTATTAAGTGCAAGGGTGGTTTTAATAAGTCACAGGGCTTTCMTTTCCCATTGCAGCTGCGTGTAGTGTGTTCCTTTGGTGAATYCTGGTGGGCTTTTCTTCATCTCTGGCCACGTCCTCTGCTAAGGATGGTTGCCTAAAAACCACTGGATTGCCGCGGGCGCTGTGGGCTTCCTGCAAGGGGTATCGCTCTTGCAATCTGTTTTATTAGCAGATCTGAAACTAATGATCTCTTGCTTTAGGGTTTTCCCCAAACGCTTTCGTTTGCTGCAGATCACGTCTCCTCCTGCTCAGCTCCTCGTTTGCAGCTGCGGAGTGTGTGAGTGCTAACTGCAAGCCTTCCCCTGGGAGAAGGGCATGGGAAGGTATTTGCTGTATTTTAATCTTGACAGTTCAGGTTTGGGAAGCAAGAAGCTTCAGGTTTGTCCACCCAGTGGTGCAGAGATGCTAGCCCGAGAATCTTCCATTTCTGTGTCCTCTGCAACCACCCAGCAAGTGCCTTCAGCCCGCGGGCAGCCCTGTAAACACCCAGGCATAATTAGAGGACTGGGTTCGTTAGTGCACAGCTGAAATTTCCCAGCAGTAGGAGTGTCAAGGTCTGCCAGACATCCTAATTTTTTCTGTATTATCGACATCCGTATCCTTGCAGCTGCCGCCTGGCCTTGCAAGGCCAGGAAGGAGGCAGGAAAAGCAGCGATTTGGCCTTTGCTGCAGGGGCTGCTTCGTACCTTGATTGATGGAGCCACATTTTACTGCATTGGTTTTGGCAGCCAGGAAGAGGAAAACAACGTACCTGAAAGCACTGAAGTTTGAAAGATAATAAAAACGTTTCCTGTTTCTACTTTCCAAGTCCTGTAGATTCCCGTGCGCATGGCCATGGAAGCAGCCCTGTGTCACCTTGTGCTCGGGTAATCTCTCAAGCCCTCCTTATAAACCTAACGCAAGACACTTTCCAGCCACTCAAGTGAGAACTTTAAAACCCCAATATCCACCCTTGCGTTCCAAGTAGGATTTTAAGCAGCCAGTTCCTACCTGCATTGATTTAGCATATGAATTGCTGTGCCTCTTAACTCCAAAATACTTTCTTAGCAAGCTGCAGCACTGAGATATATATCCTTAAAATAGATATAATTGCACTGTAGTAGATTTTCCCAGAAAGCTCAAGTCTCTCAAATCTTTTTCTGGGAAGAAGCTTTCCGTTCTTATCAGGTTTAATTTTCTGCAGCTGTGTTGCTGCTTTAGTTATTGTTAATTTTACGCCTCTCTTGTCTCCCGGGTCATCAAGCCATGGCCAGCTTTCCTGGTTATAATTTCTGGATTTTTTTCTAGCATCTGAAAGTCAAAGATGTATTTTCCCTCGACAAGCAGCTCTCCTGGTGCTAAACGCTGGTGAATGAGAGCGCTGAAGGGATGCGCTGAGCTCAAGCTGAGCAGTTGGTCTGGGTGTTCTTGAATGGTTGTGGTTTTGCAGGATGAAAAGCATTAGCTGTCATTAAAGGACATGAGTTTTAAGGACAATTTAAAAATGACTTTTTTTTTCTCCTGATTAACACTTTTTATAAGCTTTGGGTGTCCTAAAATCAGACAGTGTGTGGCAATATGAAAATTCAGTGTTTCAGATTTTGTGGAGGTTTTTTTTTGTTGTTTTTTTTTTTTTGGTTTCTTTTTTGAGCAGGGGATAGAACTTTGAACCTTTTAGGGAAGATATGAACTATAAAACTGAAAAAATCCGTCCTGAGTGCATTAGTGGTGGCTTTGGCTTTCTTATAATTTCCCTCTTGGTGACAAGGTCACTTCCATGAAACCGGGATAAAGCTTTTGCATCAAATCACCTGCTCCCCCTCGCAGTGGTTTTTCAGCATCTGCTGACAGCCTTTCACTGTAGCTCTGAACTGAGGCTGCTCCTGGAGTGATTTTCAGGTGCAGGAAAGGGCTGTGTCCCACAGAAACCAGGACCTTGTGGAGGAAGCGAGAATGTCACCGTGCTAGTCTTGCTCTCAAACAGCAGCATGGAGCAGTGCCATTTGGGCAGCTTCCTCTGCCTGTCTCCTCCCTTTTCGATGCAGTCTGAATATCTCCAGATGACACCGTTGGATTTCGCCTCGCTGCAGTGGCTGCTGCACCAAGTGCATCCCGCTCTTTTTGCAGCCAGGTGAATATTTACATGGAAAGAGCTATCAGTTCCCAAAGAGCAGGCTATTGCCACGCTGCTGCTGTCTCCTCTCAAAGATCTCTAACTCATCAGCTGAGAAAACAGGCTGTTCTCACCATTCATTTCATGCARTTACCAGGCACATTCCCATGGACGTGTGCAGGTTGCAAGCCCTACGAAGCCAGGAGGAGCAGAGCCGGGATGACTTGCAGGATGGGTCTGAATTTCCAGCCTCATGCAAAGCTCTGGTTTCACAACCAAACTGCCCTATAGGGTCAACCCTCTCCAGTCGAGTGCTCAGCAGCTCTATTTTTGCTGGTCTGGGTGTGCTTTCCTGCAGCCTTGCCCCTCTGCTCTCTGGCTGCTTGTGCTTCCTCATCCCCTTTTGCATTTGCTGCACTTGCAGCTTCCTCTGACTTTTGCTACAGGAGTCGTAGGGACTTTTGCCGACTTGTGCATCTCTTATCACGTCCCTTCTGTCCCCTCTTACCTTCGCTGAACTTGCTGCTTCTCTTGGAAGCCCTTTCTGCTGTTAGCCTGAAGTGACGCAAAGCGGTGTTGTACAGAGCATGTCGTCCCAGAGGCAGCCACACTGTAAGCTTTATAYGTGCTTTATCCTCGGCTACGTGCACCAGCGTATTTACAGACAGAATGAGGTTAAATTCATTCAGGGAAACTTCTGCTTCTTCTCATGTATGGAAAACGCATTCTCAATGTGGAGCAAGTTACCAGCCAGTAGACAGTGGCATTTGGCAGCTAGGGCAGGTCGTTTATTTGAGGAGATGTGTCTGAGGTTGGCAGGTATCTAGTGATGTGATTTGGGGCTTCACAGGCACCCTTTGGCATGTGGCAGGTGCTGGGAACTGCTGTTTGATCTGTAGTACGGTTGTATTTTACATCAAGGAGAAGAGGAGCATCAAGGAGCATCTGATTTTCCTAACTGCTATGGGGACTCTGCAGGTTTTCTATTTTTTTGCTGCTTTTTGGGATCTCCCTCTCCTTCCTCCTGTCTTCCACGTATTTCTAGCATTGAGATGTTTGTACTCGCTTTTATTTTTCAGAGCTTTTTAGAAGTTCAGTGCTGACTGCGTGAAACTGAAATGAGTTATCTCATTTTCTGCTTCAAAGCTGCTTTTAGGAAGCTCGCGTCGGTTTGTTTTCAGGGTGTTCAGTGAGCAATCAAAGGCATTTGAGTGTGGAACAGAGCCATCTCAATCAGATAGGCTCTCAAGTGTGACCATATTTGTACATGCTGATGCCTGTTTTATGTCTCTGATTTATTCTCTTTAAAGTCTGTGACTTTTTTTTTTTTTTTTTTTTAGGATCCTAATATGCACTTTTCCCGGCTGGATACCTCAGTGGGAGTAAATAATTACTATATGCAATAATGATCTGATCTAAACAGACAGACTATCCCAGCTGGAATGAGCACATCTCCCACACTTCGTACCCCTCTCAGTCTAGCTGTGAGCATCTACAGCATAACTGTGCTTGTGCATTCATTGCAGGCATCACTTACAAAACGTGTCAGACTCCCAGGTCCCAGGGTGCAGTAAAATTACACCTAGTTTTCTTCTTTCACACAGGACAGCAATAAGATTCTCAGATTAATGCGCCGACTTGCAAGCGTGCATGTAATAAGAGCTCTTTTTCTGTTTAAACTGCAGGTATCAAGATCAGGGTGGCAAGCACGTTGGAGTTGATTGATGTTATTMTCTATGTCGTTGCAGAATATGGTGTCTGTGAAAACCTACGGAAACTGGAGATCACGGGAGTGTCCTGTCGAGATGTTTATGCCAAACGTAAGTGCAAAGCTGGCGTGGATCTCTGTGTCTTTGTTTAGTACCGAGTTTGAAAGCACATRCATGCTGAATATTACTAAACTTTGACAGCAGAAGTTATTCAGACCTCCTTTCCAGTGACAGGAATTTTATCTTTGAAGTTGAAATGTTTGGGACTGTCATAAAACAGATGCCAAGATCTGGGATATCTATGTCCCTGACTCATTTGCTGGAGGGGAAAAAAAMAGGCACTGGATTAAAGTTTATAATGACAAGTATATTGAAGTGGTTTTTTTTTCTTTCTTATTTGTTTTATCTTTTAAAGATCTTGCCAGGGAATTAACTGCTATTTGTCAAAGCCTGAGGCTTCCCACACCCGAATGTAGCCACGTCTTGCTAATCCCACCACACTCAGGCTTCCCTTTGCACCCAGTTAATTAAGTGTCCTGTGCGGACATTGGGAAGGTAGGAGAAGGGATGAAGGCTCCTTTGGACTGCTCCTGGAAGAGGAGGGCGAGGTGGTGGGACTGAGGGTCAGTCTGCTCTSGCAATGGCTGTGGGACACGAACTCCTTAGATCTAACGTGTTTAGTGCGAGGTAGATGCCCATGTTCTGTTTTATAATGTGGAGAAACATCAAAGGAGAAAAAACAAGGCAAGGTAAGGACTGAGTAGAGGCCCCGTGGTCACCAAATCTTGCCCTTCCTAGTCAAAAACCGAGCTCAGAAAGCGTGGCCAGGCCCCAGAGAGTTCCCRCACCAGCCTTGCAGCAGTGGTGGTCTAAAACTTTGATCGTCAGGCTGTAAGGAGTCATTTCTGTCTTTCAACCCCATCTTTTAACAGACGTGCTGAGCATCCACAGGCAAATTGCCTTGYTGCCTGGTGACCTTGTTTACAGGCTTGTGTATTGGCAATGGGGCTGCCTAGTTTGCCTAGGGAGGTGCAGGGATTAAGTGGGAAGCTAAGGCAGTCGGATGTCTCCAGAGAAGCCTGGTCAGCCCTGAGGCCTCCCTTACCTGCCATTCAGTCTGGCATCACCGTCAGCCTGGGTGATAACTGCCCCTAAAGCCCGTCTTATCCTGCCTTAATTCTGCCTTGCTGTTCTTGCATGGCAAGACATCTCGTCATGACCTGTATCCTCTTTCCGATGCAGTAGTTTCATACCTCAGATCTATTACAGTGATGTTTGTGCATTTTATACATAAGTTCTATACAAATAAATAAATATATATATATATATATGTTGCTTATGGGCTCAAGAGCAAGGGTCTGGGTCTTGCACAGCATCTCCCTGCAGTGGCTTTAAGCAGTTGCCCAGTGAAGAGTGAGAAGAGGGCAAGCACATACGATACTTTCTTAAATACTCTCCCAGCTTCTGACTATTTTCAGCTTGGGGGATTTCCAGAGTCTAATGCCTTTTAATGCCATTTTTTTTTCTATTTAATAACCCTTGATAGATCTGCCTTGCAAGTATTTGTCCAGTCTTTCCTTGCAGCCAAGTGTATTTCTCTATTCACAACATCCATCATCAAAGAGTTGCACTTGAYGTGTGAAACACAGCTCTGCAATAAACTTTATCTTGTTTCCATAGGAGCTGTGCCCTTCTCTCTTAAGCAGTCTTAACCAGCACACTTAATCTGGAGTCAGAATGCAGCTTTTTCTGGCTCTCAGGGATGCTCCACCTCGTTTCTCCTGCTCTGATGCAAGTTTGAGCTGTTTGCCAACCCTTGGTGTTTTGGGCACCGTTTCCTGGTGGTGTGTCCCCATRTTCTCTATTGTCCCCTAGTCCTCTCTAATTGCTGCAGAGTTCATCTGAGTCTAGTAGCAGGACTCGTGTGCCCTTTCTTGTCTGCTGAATGTGCTTCTCTAGGAAATAATGTGGAAAAGTGACAACTTTTAGCCCAAGTGTTAGAAACAGTAACTAGTCCACGGCCYGGGCTACTCTCCGTTTAGTTATTTGGCTAAATAGTCTTACTGAGACGATGGAGCCCATTGCTGCCACCCTCCAGAGTTTGAGAGAGACCCCGATTACACTTGAATTCATTGAATGCCATTGATTAACATGGAAATACACGCCGAGGTTAGTATCCTGTTAAGGGGATCTGTCCGGGGCTAGAAGTGATGGCAGCAACTCAGTGCCCCACAACTGTAAAGCCAAAGGGAGTTTGACTTTGCTGCGTAGCTGCTCCAGATTCATCCTGCAGTTACGTGCTGGTTACGGTGCAGTAAAGTTGCTGGTACTTAACCTGCTGTGTCTGTTCAGGTATAAACCCACGAGTGAAGTCGGGGCGTTTTATGAAAATCCTTCCCGACTACGAGCACATGGAGTACAGAGATGTTTACACCTGCCGTACGTACCCCTGCTGGTTGATGCTTCCCTGCACTGAGCACCCACGAGGCGCTGCATGGAGTGTGACCTTGCTTTTAAGCAAAATAATTCGGGGGGGATCTTGGCAAGCGCCAGGGCTGTCGGCTACGCAGTCCCTGCCTGTTGCTCCTTAGGGGCTTGTTCTGATTCTGCAACGGTGAGTTAGGACAGGGATGGAGAGGGTTGGTCGTCCTTTGAAGGACTTTGAGTTAGAAAAATGCCCCRACTAAGCCCCTGAAGAAGAGCCCCTGGAGGCAGTTTGCAGGGAGGGAGCATTCGCTCTTTGTAGTTGTTCCCTCAGAAAGGAGAACCAGATACCCTGGTGAGGCTGCCTGAAAGTGAATCTAAACGAGCTCTGAGCTTTCAGAAAACCTTGCCTTGATCCGGCATTCGGATCTGCAGCCCTCCTAACCGAAAAATACAGAGGGTTCCCATGCCAGCTCCCTCCCTGAACAGTGAATCCTTCCACCGAGCACACTTTGCTCCAGCAGAGCGTTTCCTGAGAGGCAGCTGGTGGCCTTTCAGAGAGTGATTCGCCTTGCGCAGCCAAGAAGCTCCTCTGAGTAAACTGCTCTTCCCTTCCTGATGTTGTTTTATAGAAGAGCAAAATGCTGCCATCTGAAGCTCGCTGTTCTGCAGGAGCTGGAGGGAACAGCAATTACACTAAATCAATAAARGAAATCAGTACTGCTTGGCATTTGGAGAGGGGTATCAAGCTGGCCCTAATGCCTCTTTGGGGATGCACAGTAAGGTCACTGCAGAGAAATGCTGCAGATTCAGGTTACTAATTCCCCGGAATGCAGTTTTTGCCTCATGCTAATGAGTGGCGGGGACGCTGCAGACTCACCTGCCCTTTAGACAGTGCTTGAACATAGGCAATTCAGGGGGGTTTAGACGCTGGCCACGTCTTCAAGGTGAGTTGCCGCAGAAAGCAGCAGCAGGAAGCAATAGGAATTTCAGTTTTGGCAGTCCATGGCAGCCTCCTTCCCGAGCGGGATGGGAAGGAGAGCTGTCCTCCGGGATGGGGGCTTCCTCTGTAGGTTGCTAGCCATCATTTGCTCCAAGCATGCAKTTTGTGGTGGCTCTGAAGTGGCATTTTGTGCTGTGTCCTCCACTGTTAATCTTCTTGCTGCAGCCCCTAACTGTTGGTATCCCACACCCCTTTTCTTTAAAGGCACCTTGCATCGTGGCACAGGCAGTGTGGGCTAAGAGGTGGCTGCCTGTTCTCCCCTCTTTCTCTCCTGTGCGTAACGGCTGAGTGTCTCATGTATTACATGTGTGCTCCCTAATTCATATTCACGCCGTGTGAGCCAGGTTGGCCAGATCCTTTTCCTTGGAGCTTTAAACTGGCCTGGCTGACACATCCCGGGAGCAGACGGCTCTCTCCGCTAGCAAGGCTGTTGTCACCAGCTGGGGGGCAGCAACTGCTTAACTCGCTGCAGCTCCGCTCGCTCGTAGCTATTGCCGCATCCTGAGAGTCCTGGAGAACTGCAGTGGATTCAGCTCCTTTCCCATCAACGTCGGCAGCCCCTGCTTTAAAGGCCGCGGATTCCAGTGAGAGCTCCCAGATGGGGCATTTGCATTCACCCCTGCGCCCTCAAAGCTGGAAAYGGAGGCTGGAAGAAGATTTATTTGCAATGATGGTATCTCAAAGCCTCCTCCTTTTAAAATCCCACCATGGGGTTGCGGCTCGTCTGTCCGAGACCCCGTTTGCTGCGGGCTCTGCAATGCTTGTCCTGCCCTGCGTTTGCTCAGCGTCACTGTCCCACCATGGGGACCTGCCTGGGCTGCCCCCTTCCCACGGGAGCTCGGCCACTCGCTGCTTTTCCCAGCAGGATTCGAGCTGCCCTTCCCTCCGGTGGGCGTGCGGGACTGCATGTGGCCGTACCCAGTGGGGAGGGATGTACTGAGGTTTCCTGTGGGTATCTTTTTGTTACCATTTGCAAGGACCTGGGCTCAGAAATTCTGATGGACAAGGACCTTCTTCAGGCCTGAGAAGAGTCGGGCACATGTGTAGTGCAGGAGAGCCTTGGAGAGAGACCCAAGTGCTGTTTCCTTTGGAGGAGCAGGGAATCAGCTGCCAGACTCATCCCGTCTCCCTGGCAGAATCCCAGAGCTGGGACTCCGCAGGTTTTCCCTACAGAGCACCCACCTCCTGGCCTCTTGGAGTCCARGGACACTGCAGCAGGGAGCCAAGAGCCACCGGGGCTGAAAAACGAAGCTAAGCTCCTGCTCRGAGAATTGTCCCAGCTTCTAGCCAAGTACTGGCACCTTGCCCCATAATATCCTTTTCTGAAAGAACACGAGGAGGAGAAATTTGCAGGATCATGAACAAAGGAGAGAGATGTTTTAACCATGGAGGTGCTGGTGCTAACGAAGCAGGGCAAGGGACTGCGGTTGTGGCTGCAGCCACCTTGGGCTTTTGCAAAACCCATCCGCGGTAGCCATGCCCTAAGCACGGCGGTGCTGGGAAGCATCGTTCTCCAGCTGGAAAACCAAAAGGGGTTTTTATTTGCATCCTGCATCCTTTGGAAGTGCAGGCGATGGGAGCAGCTGGTGGGCTGAGCCAGCCTGGCCTTGGCTGGAGCTGCGGCTAGAGCACATGGAGCCGCAGGTGGAGCATACGGAGTCGTGGATGGAGTGCTTGGAGCCACAGCTGGAGCGCGGAGCCACGGCTGGAGTGCTTGGAGCCACAGCTGGAGCGCATGGAGTCGTGGCTGGAGTGCTTGGAGCCACAGCTGGAGCGCATGGAGTCGTGGCTGGAGTGCATGGAGCCGCAGCTGGAGCACGCGGAGCCACAGCTGGAGTGTGGAGCCACAGCTGGAGCACATGGAGCTGCACCTGGAGCGCATGGAGCCGCAGCTGGAGCGTGCTGCTCGCTCCCGGCAAGCCCTTGTTTGCTCGCCTGGCTCTGCGGACACCTCCCTGCTGCCAGGGAGTCCAGCAAACCCAGTGCAGCTCCGAGAGCTGGRGGAGGAGGAGGAGGAAATGCTTATCGCTTGTGGGTAGCTCAGCATCAAGTTTTCTGCCCTGAGCCCGGCCTTTTATTTACTGTTTTTATCAGCTCTGTGCAGGCAGGGTGGAAAAGCAGGCTGTGGTGGGTGGAGCAGCTTATGCACATACCATTTATTAATATGTAATGACTAGGCTGAAGCAAGAAGGCTGGGAATGTGGTTGGCCTGGTCTCCTTGTTTATGGCTGTTTATGGTGCGCGCTGCTCGCTGGGTGGAACCAATCCATCAATCCCGGGTTGTTTATTGCACGGGGAAAAAGGCTCCTCCGGGCGTGTTGGCAGCAGCCCTGGACAACCCTCTCCGGTGCCCTAGACCTCCATGGAAGTTCCCTGCTTGGGTGTGATGAAAACGCTCGCATAGAGCTTGCAGTTAAAGAGGCAAAGCTGTTGCAACAGCTGCATTGAAACACGATTCTTCCTGTAAACTAATGCAAAGCGAAAACCGCCGCTGGAGCAGCTCGTGTAGGTTTAAATTGATTCCTGCAGCCTTCGGGGTTGGCCCTGAACATCACTCTAAGGGAGCTGTAGTGTCTTCTTGCCAGATGTGAGAAGGGAGGACACATTTCCCGCTTCCCTTTTCCACCAAATGGTACTGAAGATGGAAAAATCTGTATCCTCTTTCTCTTACAAAGTTAAGTTCTTTTAGCATAGGAGAAGATTAAGTGGACAAAATTCATGGCTGAATATATTAGGTTTGGAGGCAAGTAGCGTATAAATTTTCCTCCAGAAAGGCRACTCCTTGGGCTGCTTCTGCATTAGGATTTTTCTCCAACTTTCAGTAAAATTTCTTTCTTGTCCTTCAATTTTGGTAAGGTTGAAAGCTCAGAGATGAGAAACTGGRAAGCCTCATATGCTGCAAGATGGAAGCAGCTTGCAGGAAGAGAGGAACTGTGGAAGCTTATTCAGAATTTTTAAGGCCGTTATTGAATTCATAACAGGCCCATAACGTTTCCTGAACTGGAATGGTCTGTGCGCTTCGCTGGGGCTGTCTCAGTGGCTGATCTTTAAGTGCAGCTTTTAATGCTGGGAACAAGTTTGCCTATWCAAGAAGAGGAAGTTCTCTCAAAATGTTCGGATCTGCCTATTCCTCACCGTTCTGCACGCTGAGCCATCAAGTGCTTTTTGTTTTTGTTTCTTTGAACTGGAGAAGGCAGGTAATTTATTTGCAATTAGCTCTGGTACATCATGTGATTTGCAGCATAGGACTGTGGTGCAAACCTTCTTTGGGAGTTCCTGGTGAGCTCTGTGGTTGGGAATAGACAGTTTTCTCTTCCCTAGCAAAAGACCGCAGTGGGTGTCGTGCAGTTTGGCAGTAGTCTTCCTTTCTCTTTCTTTTCCCCCAATCCCAGTTCCTTACCTTGCTGTGCTCACGTCGGTGTCTTGCTCTTCCCTAGTGCTGCACCGGTACCGACACATCTTGGGATTATGGCAGCCGGACATTGGGCCCTACGGGGGACTGCTGAACGTGGTGGTGAGTACCTGCTCCGAGGGCTGTGGGGCACAGGGTTGAGGAGAGCCGTATATGGCCCCCCTTCTAGAACATTTTGCCCTTCTGCCATTTGCTGCAGTTGGCATTCGCTGCATGGCATTAGGAAGTCTGAGCAGGCAGCCCTCAGACAAGTAATTGGGATGCAGGGCTTGCCCTTTGGTTCCTGTCATCATCACGGCCTTTCTCCAGAGAGTCCTTCCTTGTTTGTGTGCCCATGTAGCCCTTTGGAGAGCAGCCCTCCACTTACTGAATGAGCTTTGCCTGCAGCTGTGCATTTTGCATCATGCACCTCTGTCTTTTCCATCCTTCAGCATCCTTTTCTGCAGCAGTGCCCCAAAACTTAACACATCAGCTGTAGAGGTGGTGATATACGGGAATGCAGGACCCACGGAGCCTGCCAGCTCCTGTGCTGCTGGGGAGAGCAGCTCATGAACACCACTCGCCTCTGGATTGTTGGCAGCTGGGCAAGGAGTTTGCCTGGAGCCCTTGTTCTGTGCAGCATGGCTCATTAGCTGACAGGTTAACTGTAACAAATCACTGGGGCCAGCGGAGCTCTGGCCTTTGGTTTTGCAAAAATCTGTTCCACAAACTGGTATAAGAGCACATCTGGTTGCACCAGMTCCTGCTCTGTATAGTTGGCTTGTAAGGAAGAGCGTTTCCCTGTGCTGCTGCTCCGCTTTGGTTCAGATCTCTCCGTTTAGGCGACGCTGGGACACAGCCGATGGGTTTCGAAGGTTTGAGAGGACGGATTTAATTAGGAACGCAGGAAAAGGGCTGGCATTTGTGCCTCTCAGCAGAGGGGATTGCTGCTTTCTTTGCTGTCTGGGAGTAATAGAGCAAAACGAGTCCTTGTCCAGAAGGCAGAGATTACTGTGAGGAGCACAACTCCTCTATTCGAGTGTCTGCCAGCAGGAGCTCTCAAAGCAATTAGAGCTTGACTAGCTCCAGTGCAGCTTGCCCACCGAGCACCCGGCACCATGTCCTTTGCAGTAATAGAGGCCTGATTGTTTTCCTGCCATACAGAAAGCCTCATAAAAACACCCTTCCTCTTCAGTGGGGATGTGCTGCAAGTGCCTGCGGTGTGGTTTAGATGCTGGAAAGCAGTTTGGAAGTGCAGCAAGCTGTTGTACAGCCCCTGCCCTGAGCAGAAAGGGTCCAGGAGGTGCTTGCTGCAGGCTGGATAGAAGGTGCATCAGGCTGATCTCGTTTGTGCTCTTCTGCTCTGGTGCAGGTGGATGGTTTGTTCATCATCGGGTGGATGTATTTGCCTCCTCATGACCCCCACGTTGATGATCCGATGAGATTCAAACCTCTCTTCAGGATTCACCTCATGGAGAGGAAATGTGCCACTGTTGAGTGTATGTATGGCCATAAGGGACCTCACAACGGCCATATCCAGGTGAGCTCCCYTGGCACTTCCCACGTTTTTCCTCCAGCTGTGCAAGGTTCAGTATATTTGTGTGYATTTGCGTTGGCCCTGGAAGTGGGTTCCACAGCAAACGCCAAGACATTTCTGTAAGAATGTGACCGCCAGCATCCTGCAGTACGTGTGGATGCCAACTTTGTCCTCATGGTGTCTCTGACAAGTTGTGTGACTGTTCCCTGCTCTGCATTTTTTTCACTGGTAGTTGTACAGCTGCGTATTAAACTCTGTTGCTGGGCTGAGAGCACCAACATGTGCCCAGGCTCAGAGAGAGGTTACGTGCAATGTCCTTAGGCAGTTGCTGTTCATGTCCAAGCAGACACATCTGTTCTCTTTTCCATCCATCTCTAAAATGGGACATTGAGAAGGCGACTGAGCATCATCCATTTAGTGTATAGGTTGCTTTGAAAATATCCTGAGGGATTGTTGCCTTCTCCTCGAATCTCAAATGGAGAAGAGGTTTGAAATCCAAATCCTCCGTTAGAATGTGTTGTTTTTACTGCCTCTGTTTCTCCATCCTGCAGCTGAGGCACTTACTATCATTGATGATTTGTCTCTCGTGGCAAATGCAACAGCACTTACATTAACCACTTGTTTTGGGCAGTCTTGGTTACACTGTCCTAGTCATCTCTAATCAGGTCCATGTTAATTTTTCCTCTCCTAACCTGCAGATTGTAAAGAAGGATGAGTTCTCCACGAAATGCAACCAGACAGATCACCATCGAATGTCCGGGGGAAGGCAGGAGGTGAGAGTGCTTTGCCAGCAGCCTGGCTTGAGACTACCTTTGTGTCCCCTTTCTGAAAGTGCAGTATTACTGTCTTGTCTAAGACCTTAACTAAAGTTGGGATCTGCTAAGATCTTACAAAAGTTGGGATCTGAGAGAGGCCCTTCAGGTTACGGTTTCTGTAGATCCTAAGGTACTTGAAAACCAAAGATAGTAGCGTCTGTTTCKTCAACTTGAAACTTTTTTTAAGTGGGTAAAATTGATTGGAACTCTTTAAGTGGCCACATCTGAAAGCTTAAGGCTAGCTTAAGGCTAGCTGCACRTCTCATTTGACTCTGCAGCTCTGCTGTGTAAGGAGCATTCACAAAGAAGCTGTTAGAGACCTGCAGGATCCTGAGGAACCTYTTCTGCGGTTGGCCAAGGTGGTGTGTTGTGTGGGACCAGTTCAGTGATACAGCTGCAGAATGGGGGAGAGCTTGTGTGTGACCTGGGCCCAGCAGGGTCTGTGTAGCATTTCGAGCCAAAGGCTTTTCCAGGCAAATATCACTAGCAAGGTGCTGTTTCCTGTGAGAATCGAGTTGTTTGGTCCTGAGCATCCTTGTCCAAACAGGACACCTTTGGAGCTTGGCAGCAGACTTGTCCATGGAAAGACAGCAGCATGCGGTGTACTCGGTGCAGCACCCTGACCTCTCTGTCATTATCTTTATAAAAACCAAGTCTTTCAGACACAGGCCTAACATTTAGTTCCAGCTGCACATACCTCCTTGGGAGCAGAGACCTTCCCTCTGCTTGCCTGTTTGCCCCGAAGATTAAAAGCTGCATTTTGTCTTGTTTATCCTGTATCTGCAACATCTCAGCAAAGCAGATTCCTCACTCAAACTACATGCTTTTAAGATGCAGGCCTGAATGTCAAGAGAGAAGCTTTCAGCTAATAGCTGTTCCAGGTAGTGATGGTTGCTGCCAGGAGCCCAGCTGGTTAGACGTGACAAATCTGATACTCAGTCACTTCTAACCAAAGCTTTAAAACGTCTGTCTACTAATGGGAAACAGCTGGGTGAAAGGTTTAGTTAAGTGTTTTCTGGTTCTGTAGCAGATGAGAAATGCTTTAATACTTTCAAAGCGCTGTGTTAAATGTGTGTGGTATTATGGTAATTGGAGGATCTGGCTTTAGAAGATAAAGCAAGCAGGTTTGTAATATCACTTGGTGGGCTGCTATCTTAGAGTAAGCTGTTATCATGCTAACTCATGTTAGGGTATTAACTTGTCAAAGCTGGTGTAGAGGTATGTCAGGAGACATTTTCAAAGCACCCTTTGGATTTAGATGTGTCAGTGTTTAAATGAGCAAGGATTTAACCTCCTGAGTCTTTAGTGCTTTTGAAAATCTTCCCCTTTTATGTTTAACGTGTCAGAATAGGGCAGAACCAGTCAGCTTAGGGGCACGCAAACAAATTACTGCACGGTAAGCGAGGACACAAACAAACAGTAGGTCAGTTGCTTTGAAGTAGCAGATGATGCTTATGCTTTTATTCGGAGGASGCGTGATGGTTTTGCCCTCTATTTCTTTGAAGCTAAGTGCACCTTTGCTGTGTGGTACCTCGCAGGTGTAGGGCAGTTGCTCTGATGATTTCTTGTTCAGCCTATTTCCAGGTCAGCTCTGTAGCAATGTGGGCTTGTTCCCAAATCCAGCTACAGCCTTGGCAGAGCGTGTGACCTCTCCATGGCTCCACTGTTGTGCTCACACAGTGAATCATGACATGCTGGGGCACCATCACTGCTGCAACTAAAGCAATTCTAGCTTCTCCCATGTCTGTCCTCTCCTTGGGCTGCAGGAATTCCGCACGTGGCTGAGGGAAGAGTGGGGTCGGACCCTGGAAGACATTTTCCATGAACACATGCAAGAGCTCATCTTGATGAAGTTCATCTACACCAGCCAATATGAGTAAGGATACCAGCTCTTCCTAGGTATTGAGGCAGCTGCAACTTCAAGAGCATGTTGGATCATTTGTTCTGATTACATAATGCTTTCTTGTAATGAGTTTTAACAGAACAGCAAAGGACAGTGACTTTGGGCGGGTTCTGCTGTGACAGGCGCTATGCAAGCAGACAGTGCAGCACAGTCATTTCCAATTGTGTAGAGAAATAAGATGTAATGAAGGCAGTAATGATAATGTTCCAGATTCTTTAGAACAGCTCTGTGCACAATAAGATGGTTTTGAGTCATTTAGCTGTGCTTAGTTTGAAGATGGAGTGAATATGTGTGATCCCAAGGGGCTATGTGCTTATTATCCGTATTAGTAAGCAATATACTTTGTACTGCACAAGACAGAAATTACCCAGTCCCTGAAAAGTCATTTTTTAACTGTCACTCCAAACTTCTAATAGGAGCTACATCGTTGTAGMAGATGTTTAAATACACTTTGCTTTTGGATTCTCCAGAAATCCCAGGGAGGGAGGAGGTTTACTGTGACCTTGCTGCGGAACCTCCTGCTGTGCTAATAACGACTGGGAGAAGGGAAAAGTGAAGAGAGGGAGAAATGAGGGGGCTGTGTTTGCCTAGATCTGAAGTAAAATGTGTTGCACTTGTTGGCGGGTCTGAAATCACAGCTTCAGCCCTTCTATTAATGATGACCCAAAGCGACCTAGAAAAATAGGCTGTAAACACGTTCTTCACATGCTGGGGTTCTCTTTTAAACTCATTTTTTTCCTATTTTTCATAGCAACTGCTTGACATATCGACGCATCTACCTCCCTCCTAGCAGCCCCGATGACCTTATAAAGCCAGGTCTCTTCAAAGGAACATATGGGAGCCATGGGCTGGAGATTGTCATGCTGAGCTTCCATGGAAAGAAAGCCAAAGGGACTAAAATCACCGTGAGTGTGTTTTCCTTTCTCTCTGCCAATTAAAGTTTCCTCCTCTTGATGCTGTGGATCCCTAGGAGACAGTTATCTGCTGGGGAGGTTACCAGTCAGTTGTTACCGCCCCAGAGCCAGCTTCTCATAGAGACTGGTGGTATCAGGTAAACTTTAAAACATACAGAGGAGCTAGAACCTGCCCAGAAGAGTTTTCTTACGTCTCCACCCAGTTCTCCCTTCCTTTCTCTCCCTGATGGCTGCTTTCTGGGGGCAGCAAGTAGCAGGGCCCTAAAGACCATGCACATCTGTAGAACAGGTACCAAACTTTACTTTTCTTACTGAAACCAAGCTGGTRAGCTCATTCCTCTCCTCGGGGAGGAATCCTAGTGAAATGTGGTTGTGACTTTGCCTTTCACCCTTGCAAGCACAGCCTGGCTGTAGCATTTGACTAACGTTCTGTTCCCAGGAGGAGAAATACAGGGGTGAAATACAGGCAGTTCAGGGAACAGTGAACAACACCTGAAGTTTTTAGCTGTCAACTCATTGATTGTAGAATAGGGGGAACAGTTTAGAAAAGCTTGTGCTTGTGGGACGACAGATGTGGGGAGGATGCAGGTATGAACTTTGCACCCTGCCTCTGCAACCATAGATGGTGTTCCCTGTCCTTAGGGAGATCCCAACATCCCAGCCGGGCAGCAGACGGTGGAGATCGACCTGGCCCATCCTCTTCAGCTCCCTGACGTCGAGAACCTACGTGACTTTAGTGAGCTCTCTCGCATCGTCCTCGAGGTCCAGGAGCAGGTGCGCCGCGAGGAGCAGGAGGAGGAACAGCGGCAGGAGGAAGAGGATGGCTCCCAGCAAGCTGCCTCCCAGCCCTCTGCACAGCCCCACGGAGGAGACGGTGCCGTGGGGGAAGAGACTGCGGTTGGAGCTGAAGGGGTGGCCCAGGACAAGACACCAGCTTCCCAGCCCTTCGTGCTGCCCATGGGAGTCATATCGAGGAATGAAGACTATCCTAGGACCTGCCGAATTTGGTAATGGAGATTGGTGTTTTTTAAAGCCTACTCATTCAGTTACTTTTTGAAACCAAAAAGGGAGTCTTTGAGGCACGTGCTGTTTTCCGTTTGATTCCTGGGTCAGACTGCAGAGAAGTTCAGCTTTAGTGTGCAGCTGCTAATTCTTAGAAGCCCCAAAAGCAGCAAGTTTCCTAAAGGCCCAGGGGAACGTACGTAGCAAGGGATAGTTCCTCTTCCTAAAACAGTAGCAGTGGTGTCTTGTGAATGTAAAGGAATGTAAAGCTCCCTGTTCTGTAGTGCCTGGCAGTATGCTTGAGGATGCCTTGATCATATATATGTATATATTTTTAATGAAATGTCAGGCAGTTATGACTCTGTTCACATCTTTCCTGCTTTTCCTTTCTCCCTGCAGTTTTTATGGGACGGGGCTTATTGCCGGCCATGGCTTCACCAGCCCGGAGCGAACRCCGGGTGTCTTTGTCCTCTTCGATAACGACCGTTTTGGCTTCATCTGGTTGGAGCTGAAGTCCTTCAGCCTCTACAGCCGCATCAAGGTCTCGTTCCAGAACGCCGAAGCGCCTTCCCGGGAGGCTTTTGACGAAATGCTGAAGAACATTCAGTTGCTGGCGACTTGACGGGTGATTTGGGATGGACAGGGCTAGGGGTGGCAAAGGCCGCTGCACTCCCTGGCYAGGGATGGGATGGGAGATTCCTTGCTCTCAGTACCTCTGAATAAAAGCATGCACTTTTTAAAGCCTTTTTACCCCAAAATGTACACATCCCTGTTAGAATATTCATGACTGCCTCCTCACGTTTCTCCCTGGCAGTCCTTGTTATCCAGTCTGTAACATAGCTTTGTATGGCTGAAGGGATCCTGCAGAGGAGGAAGCAGAGCTTTCATATTGCAAAAAGGATATATCAGAACAAAATTAACTCAAGGGCAGAATTGGATCAGAAGTTGGACTGGGCTGGTGGAAGCCCTTGGCTCTGTCCACTGGCAGTCTCCCATGGGAAGAGACCTTCCTCTGGGAGAGGACTCCTTTAAGCTTGTGCTGTGTTCCAGGCCAATCAGCCCTCCTAGGAGACCTGCATTTCTCTCCAGAAAACTTGTGAGGCTTCTGCTGCCGACTGGCTGCTCACACTGATTGTGTCAGAAGTGACAAAGTGTCCTCTTCTCCAGAAGGCCTTCCCTGGGTGCATCGTTGCCCAGAGGAACTGGTGGAACACCCATGACTTGACAAAGTTGGAGGAGGAGGTTTCCTTTGAGACCTTCTCACCTTGGGGAAGATCTGCACAGTAAATGATGATGTGCACGGCCGTGCTCGGGCTTCTGAAGTTCCCATCCCTGCCTGTCTTCACAGCTTTTATTGTGACCCTCGCAGGGGTTTTTGCCATCTTTGGCTTTTGTGTGTTCCCTCCAGCTGTGCGAGAACTGAGATTTTGAGGTCATGCCACTTGCAGGACTAATCCCTGTCTCTTTGCATAGAGGTTTTTCAAACCACTGGGAGTTTGAAGGTGATTTGGGACCCTTCTTTCTTCCCTTCCTGCGGCTTTGTCGCTAGTGGAAAACCTGTCAGTGTCAGAGGAGAGGATCAGAAGGGCTGTTACTGTTCTGGTGAATGAGCTATAAAAAGCAAATTAGTTCTGAGCAACCTGCTGGATGTGTCAGCAGAGGGAAGAGTTGTCCTGTGTCTCGCCCCATCATTCAGGCCTGGCAGAGATGCTGGGGGAAGGAGGGACAGGGGCAATTCTCTGATCATTGGCTTGAGGGCAGAGAGGTGACCTGAGGCTGAACTTGGGCAGCTGCTGAGAAGCAAAATGTGCACTTAGATCTTGTAGGAAGAAATTTCAAGCTCAATCGTGCGATTTTCTGGGTTACCTAAAGACATTAGGAGTCTGAGTGGCCGGTTTATTTGGGGACTGCCTGTCAAGCTGCTTTGTATTGCTCTGTAGCRTGGCCTAAAGGGTGAGAGGGGTCCGCTTGGGCAGCTTTTTCCATAGCTTGTCCCTAAAACCAGTTCTATGTCAACTGCAAATGGATCTATAGTTTTAATTTGTGGCTTCCTTCTTCCTTTCGTGTTCCAGTTGCCCAAAACAGAAAATCCTAAAGTTTCTCCTAACAATCTTAGTAGTTCTTGGTTTTCTTTCTTAGSATAAGATTGCAAATGCAGTCTGCATTGAGTGCACTACAAGCACTTGATTTGAGTCATTGTCCCTTAAGGACAGACGCTGCCTCTGAAGTCAGTCTCCTCCCTGTACCTTGCTGTGTCTGGCTGGCCGAACGTGTCAGCCTGATTCACTAATGAGTCAAAAAGTGGGTTTTGGAGCCATAACCTGCTGCTTTSGTTGTCCTCATGCACAGAGGAAGGCAGCGATGCTGTGCACAGCATTGCAGGTCTGCCTAGCCGCTTGTGCAAGATCCTCTTGGTCGCCTGTTGTGCATCTGCTGTTGTCCAGGCTGGGGTGGTTCTTGTAGCTTGTCACTTCCCAACCGTGTCCGGCGTCGAGTCCCTGCTGGACACGAGGCCTGGCTGGTGCGGAGAAGGGCTGTGCGGAGGCTGGATGTGCTGCAGGAGCCTTGCAGAGATCAGCTTTGCCCTTGCAGAAGCTTCCTTTTATTTATAGTGTACCTGATTGGCCTCAAAATGTCAGAATGTACCAGGCCCAATTAAAGGCCAAGCTGCTGGTACATTGCGGCTTTATTCTGTGCAGAGCAAAGACAGCAAAAATAGCCAATTCTTATTAACGYGCCTCCTTTTTCCTCTCACCTTCCCCTCCCGAAAGCCTCGTAGGCTTTTGTGGCATTTCAGAAGCAAATTCCCTCCGATTTGGCTGGCTGAGTGCAGAGAATTGGCAAGAGGGCAAAGCAAGGGAGACAGGGACACTGAATACTCTTCCTCCCTTGGGTTTTTTGTTCTGCCTCTCCCTGTGAGCGCTGATGACCGTGCTGACAGGGCAGGGTTTTGCTGGGCCCGTTCCTGTTTGGTGCAGGCTCTGCCGCCTCCTTGCACAGGATATTTTGGTGCACACCCTGCTTGTTTCTTGAACCCCCCTTTGTCACCATTCTGGGATGTTCCTCCGAGTCGTGCATGGGGTTAATATGCGCTGGGGTGAGGAACATCTGACTGCTGCTGCTGTCACCTCGCCCTGTTCACTTTCCATAGATAACCTTGGGGACAATGAGCACATTTCTTGGTGCCAGGCACGTGGAAAGCACCAGGGAAGATGGAAAATAACCCGTCGGTGGTAGGGAATGCTCTCTTGGCACAAGCGTTTCGAAGTCAATGAGCCAAGTGCTGCAATTAGGTCGTGCAGCATCACTGCCCTAATAGCTAGCAGAAGACCCAAACGGGGACTTAATTCTAGCTTAGGAGCAGTAAACAAGGGAGATGCTCAGGCCGTGCTGTGCTCCTAGCACGAACGCTCGTGCTCTTTGCATGTCAAACCACGTGGGGTCGGCCAGCTGGGAAACAGAAGCCTCAAAGATCATCATCCAGCTGCTTTGTTTATTTGTGTTGGGCCTGATTTCCTAGCTATAGCTATGAAAATATAGCTATGAGATCATAGCTATAAATGTGCTGGGATCAGGCTTTGTTGCCACAGAGGACTTGCTGCAGTCCACACAGACTTGTCAGGTTCTTTTTTGGAGCAGGGAGGTGGAGGGACAGAATTATTTGTGATCTTGGGTGTCAGTTTTCCTCAGCAGCCAATGTTGGATCTGGAGCAAATGGGGAAGAACTGCCCTGTTTGTCCTGGAATTGGGAAATAGAGGCTGGATTGCAGTTCGTGAGGAAACTTTTACTGGGGAGAAAACAAAATCAGGCTTGGAGATGCACGCTACCAGGAGGACAAATGTAGCTGACTCGATGTTYACTTTTACAGAAGGGTGACTTTTCATTGCTTTTTATTAATTTAATTTAAGACTAGTGGAACGTAATACGAGTGTTGGGTGTTGTGTGGAAAAGGGTTGTGTAATCTCAGCTTGTTAGTTTAGGAGATGATAATATATGAACTTTTGTCTCGTAGCTGGTTGCTCATGTGGCCAACAACCTTCTGGTGCAGGGTTGTGTGCAGGCCAGACGTTTCAGATATCTGAAATAGGGGTGAGGAATGGAAGATAAGGTATCAAAATGTGAGTGCCACTGGCTTTTTCTGTCCTAAACTACTGKTTTTTTTTTTTCCTTTGAATTATGGTCTCTAATTTTTGAGGAAAAGAGCACTCACCTCAGTGGTTTTTGTTGGTTTAATTAAAAGCAACCTGCACTTTTTCTTTTTTTCATTGATAATACCCTTATGTTCCCCATTGCAGGCATACCCAATTTTTGTGTGAATTTTGCACTAACCACTTTAATGTGGCGCTGACTGATTAATCTGGGTATCTCCAGCAGGCTTTGAGTGTAAGTGTCCATAAAACGCCYGGCTGTACTTTTATTTTCATGCTTATTTAAAATGAAGGTGAGAGGCCAGATCTGTGCTGCTTGCAGGGGAAAGGTGAACTTTTCATTCTGAAATACTGTTTGCCATTGAGCACCTCAGTTTGATGCCACAAACACCAGGGTGGGACACGATAAATGTAGGTTCAACAACTCGTCTGTTCCCCCACATGAAGGATGGGGGTTTTACCCCTTTATTTGTGGGTTTGCAAGGAATGGGCTGGCTCTGCAAGGCCAGACCTACCGCGTCCGAGGTGCCCGGGAATGGAACAAAGTCTGTGTGTTACTTTTCCACCTGATCATTGTTACCCAAGGAGCCTTTTCCAGTTTCAAATAATAAAAATTGAAAGTTTTGTGAACTTATTTCTGTTTTGCTTCTTTTCCTTTTGGAAAGAAAATGGGCGGGTGATTTTCCACCCCTCTGATGAGCAGCAGTCGCTCTCCCGCCTTGCAATGAGAACTGATTTCTCCTCCTTCTGGTGCTCTGCAGTACAGCTGATTTCCCACAGATGCGAACACGTCCCCACAGCTCACACGGTGAGGATGAGGAAGGCAGAAGGATGGTGTGAGCCCCCTTCTTTATAGAAACAGGCTGAGAACCATCCATATTTATTATCCCTTTTTCCACATGCTTTTTCCTGCCTCTGCCTCCCTCAAGACTGAGCTTCTCCCAGTGCTTTTCCAGGTGAGTGAGGAGTGAGGAATCACGAGCCCGGTGCCCGAGGTCTRTCTGCAGGAGCGTTTCTGGGCTGCACGTTGCCCTGCCAGCTATGCAGTTCTGCCAGTCACAACAATTTGTGGGCAGATTATTATTTTTGCGGGCTTGGACATGCAGCACTGCAGCTATTCAGAGTTCACATGTGAACTCTTGATCTGAAAACAGCTCTGCCTTCTCCACACCCTTCACTGTGAGGGTGACAAAGCACTGGAACAGGCTGCCCAGAGAGGTTGTGGAGTCTCCTTCTTTGGAGATCTTTAAAACCCGCTTGGATGCGGCCCTGTGCCACGTGCTCTAGGTGACCCTGCGTGAGCAGGGGGGTTGGACTAGATGACCTCTGAGGTCCCTTCCAACCTTCGGCATTCTATGATTCTATGATTCTATGATTCTATGCCAGTGATTGCAGCCAGAGTGCACTAGTGATCTCTACGTGTGACCTCCTCCTTTTTTCCTCCCAATTTTTTATCACCAGTGCTTTTCCTCATTTCATAGGTGTTAATTCTCTGGGGCTGCAAGGCCCCTCTGGCTCCAACCTTTCACTGATGCCTTCCCTGTATGACCCTGCAATCTTTTGAGACTTCATTGCTTAGASGAAAACAGTAAAACCCATATAATAACCGTGCTGTAACTCCTAGCATGTGTTTGGCCTTTGAGGAGTGCAAATGTAGTTTCTTAAGCAGCAATATTCCCAAACCCTGCCACATGCAGCTCCTAAAAGCCACCTCGCTCTCCTGCAACCTCTGCTTCCCATGCATATGCGTGTTGGGGGTTTTGCACGTTCACTCCTGGGCAGTTTAACATCTCTGGGGAGCAACGTGGCCCCTTGCAGCTGCCTGGGGGCTGAGGGCAGTGTCCTGCACCCTGCTCAGCCCATTGCCAGCGAAGGCAGCTGAAATGAGAAGCAAGGAGGTAGCTTTGAGCTGGCAGTGATGCTCTTCAGCTGGTGGGTTCGTCTCCTTGCCACGGTGATGGCTGTTTGCTCAGAAACGGAGGAYGAAGATGCATGAATTCGCCAACAATTCAACCCTGACTTCATTGCTCTACTGAGCTGGAGAGCTGCGGGTTCCAGCCCCAAGAAAGGTGGATTTCCCTCCTCGCTGCTGCAAGGACGAGCTGGAAATGGGTTCCTGCTGGGTGAGCCCTGATGCCCCTAGCAGGGCAGGATCGAAGGACACGGGGCCGGGACCCGGCAGGGCTGGGCGCTCTGCGGCGGGCTGATAGCGCAGCCCTGGGCAGCGGGAGGCCCCGCTCCCGGCTGCCTTGCCCGCAGATGGTTAATGAGCWGCCGGGTCACCGCTAATTAGCGATGTGCGGGGCCCGCAGCGGCCCCAGCGCTGCCTCCCGGCGGCGGCTCCGCGTCGCGCCCGCCAGGGGGCGCCCCGAGACCGGCGGCGGCGCCAGGACCCCCCCCCGCACCCAGGGGAGCCCTGGGACGCGGGCACCTATGGGACCTGGAACCTATGGGATTGGGCACCTATGGATTAGGCACCTATGGGACCTGGAACCTATGGGACCTGGAACCTATGGATTAGGCACGTATGGGACCTGGAGCCTATGGGATTGGGCACCTATGGGACCTGGAACCTATGGGATTGGGCACCTATGGATTAGGCACCTATGGCACCTGGAACCTATGGGACCTGGGACCTATGGGACTGGGCACCTATGGCACCTGGGACCTATGGGACCTGGAACCTATGGGATTGGGCACCTATGGATTAGGCACCTATGGGGCCTGGAACCTATGGGATTGGGCATCGATGGCACCTGGGACCTATGGGACCCGGGACCTATGGACTGGGCACCAATGGGACCTGGAACCTATGGGACCCGGGACCTATGGAACCCGATACCTATGGGATTGGGAGCCTAGGGGATGCGGGACCTATAGGAGCCAAAGCCTGTAGGATTGGGCACTTATGGGACCTGGGACCTATGGGATCTGGAAYCTATAGGCCCAGGGATTCCTGGAACATGGCTAACTCTAGGACYAAGGATCTATGGATCCCAGCACTTACAGGATCCCAGCTTCCCTGAGTCCTGGGTACCCTGGGACTCCAGGAGCTCMGGCCCCCATGCAACCTGTGATCTTATAGAATCCAGGTGCTCAGGACCTGGATGTTCATGGGATCTGGGACCTCGGCAGCTACAGGAGCCGGGACCCTTTGGCCATCTGCACCTATGGGACCCAGGAGCCCCAAGACCCAGGTACCTTTATGGGACTTGGCCTCTCTGRTACTCACGACCCCTGGGATTGGCACCTTGGGGATCTGGGTAAGTACAACAGGACCCAGCATCCCTGGAACCCTGGAATCTCCCTGGATCAGGACTGGCACGTCCCTCTAGGACATAGGCACCCGTGGGACAGGCAGCCCTGGGACTCGGCCCCCTCAGGACTTGGGTGTCRCCAGATCTGTCCCCCCAAGGTGCTGGGATCCAGTGCAGAGAGACAGGGGCTGCTGCTTGTTCCRCAGCAAAGAGAGGCGCTGGGGAAGAGGATGCTCGTGCCAAGGTGGGGACACACTGCCAGTCAGGAATTCCAACCAGGAACTGGAATTAGGGCAGCAACCTTGGCTGCTAGTCCTGGCCTATGCCACCCTCTCCCTCCGCAGAGAGTCCCGACCCCAGCTCAGCTCCTGTCCTTAGCTCTGATCCCATTACCTTAATACACCGGCGGCGTGGGTGGGAAATGTCCCTTTCGTGGTGACCTCGCTGCCCTCGTGCCCGGGGCAGCGGGAGGCCCCTAATCCCGCCTGGAGGAGCCCGTCCTGCCGGCTGCTCCCGCCGCAGCAGCATCCGCATCCATCCAGCACGGGAAGGACTGAGCTGGATCCCGAGCCCTGCACCGGTTTGAACTGCTGCATGGAGCAGCGTGGGCTGATGTGCAAATAAATAAATAACGTGGAGGTTTCGTTCTTTAGCTGGAAATGTATCTCCTTTGCAGGTCTGCCCGCAGCTCCAGCGCCGATCCCGCTTGTTGCATCCCTGTGGATGCTGCTTGTTGCATCCCTGTGGATGCCGCATGTGCCGGCCTGGCCCTTTGCAGCAGCCGGGAGCTCTGCCACCCGCCTGGGCCCCTTCCCGTCTCCTCCTTTGTTTTCCCTAATCGCCCGCGAGGCCGCCAGGGCACGGGCTGTTTCTGACCCGCTGTTTGCACAAAGCCTCCCACCTCGCGGCTGGAACGTGCCGACCYGGGAACACCCGGGAACACCGGGAATCCGACCTTGGAGAGGGAACTAACCGGTTTGGGCACCSGCGAGCCACAGCCCCAGCAAGGGCTGCCCGGCCGGCCGGGCACTGCGGCTGCTCCAACCCTGATCCAAGGCCTTCTAGGTCTCCCGTTTCCTTTCCAATGTTTTTGTGGCATGTCAGCTTTCCCTGCTGGGAGCAGATAATTGGGAATTCCCATGCAATCTCATTCTGCACCGGTGGGTTTCCTCACCTGCAGCCAGGCTCGGGGCAACAAGGTGGAATTACGGTGTTGCAGACAACAGCTTAATATAATCCCCCATGCGAGCGGCCGGCGGGGACAGAGCCCTGCGGAGCTGCCCTTGGCTCAGGGACGGATCCGGAGCCGCCCGCCCGGACCAGGGCAGCAGCCAGGCCCAAAATAGAGCGTTTGCAGCCAGCAGAGTGGGCGGAATGATGTTTTTCCCCGAAGCCGCTCAATAGCCTTGAGGCTGCTGGCACCGATAAGCGTTTGCCCGCGTGCCCCAGCGAGCGGCTTTCATCTCTGCCTTATCCCAATGCTGAGCGCGGAGCCTGGGATTATTTCTGCACCTGGAGATCTGCCCGGATCGTGCTCAGGGCCGTGCACTGCCGTTAGGAGTGAGCAGCAGCAATGTCACCTTTAGTCCCCATAGCTGCTGCTCAGGCCCCTATCTTGCAGCACCAGCAGAGGCTCAAATTAATAATTCCAGCATACAAATTGCATCAGTTTCCCCGCTTTGGCCTCRCTGGCGCCCTGCAGCATCACTGGCAATAATAAAGCCACTTCAGCAGGCTCATCCCCTCTCCTTTCTGCAGGGAATGATGCGGACATTAAACACAGAGCAAATTGCACGGTGCATCCGAGGGAAGATGCTTGGCTGCCTTCTCTTTCCCTGATGACGCAGGCGCCGGGAATAGCAGCTCCATTAATTCCGTCCTTTGCCTCGCGTGAGTCGTCGCCRGCGCTCGGATCTCGCCTTGCTATAAAGGTGGTCGCACTGGTAAACTGCAAAAAATTGCAAATTGCATTTGCTGCTGCTGCGTCTCCACCGCCAGCTGCCCCCAAAAACCGTCCGCTCCGAAACCGCGGCAGATATTGCACCCGAGATAACAGATTACAGGCAGATATTGGCCTGCTCCACTGGCACGGAGCGTTCCCGTGCATTTCGGTGCCTTCCCATACATTTTGGTGCATTCCCATGCGTTTTGGTGCGTTTCCGAGTGTTTCGGTGCTCTGCGCTGCTGTCAGCCGCGCGCTGAGTTTTAACAGATGGTCCCAGTGACAATGACGGCCTCGGAGGGCTCTATTTATACATTCCGTGTTGGGCTGTTATCCTGCGTGCGCGGGGGCTCCGCACAAACAGCGAATCCCTAGTGCTTCCTGGCTCTGGAATCGGGAAGCGAGACGGTCTGTGCCAGATAATGCCGCGTTTTGGGGTATTGGTGGGAGGAACCGTGGGGTTTTGGGGGAGCTGCATGACGGGATCACTCCAGGGAAACTGGGAATGAGGCGCCCCAGCCGTGCTGGGATGGTGAYGGATACCGGCCCCATCCACGTGACGGCAGCGATAGGGAGCAAGCTGCGACCTTTGCGCTTTGCCGTGCGCTCCAGCAGGAGCTGCGGCGGGAAGCGGCTTGGAAGGGATTGGCACTGGGCTCCGGGATCGCTTCCCATGCTGTTTTTTAGGGGAAGGAAAGGAAAGAAAGGAAGGAAAGAAAGAAAGGAAAGGAAGGAAGGAAAGGAAGGAAGGGCTGCTGCGATCCTCTGGCTGGATGCAAAGCTGGGAGCGTGGGCAAGTCCTGGCTCCATGCAGAAGGTTTTAGCACTTTCAGGAGCCCTGCAAGGAGAAGGGAGACCTGGCGAGGGCTGCACCAGGGATTCAATCCGAAATAAGGAAATAAGAGGATTTTCCCAACTACTGTGTAAATAGGAAGGGAGATTTTCCCAACTGTTGCTCAGCAAGGGAGAGGCCAACTTAATGCCACTGAAATAGATTGGATTAGGCGGGATTTGCAGAGGGCCGGGCTGCAAGAATGGCTTATTTAGGTTTTTAGCAGCCGTGTGGCAAGCGCGGTGTCGCAGTGCCGAACAGCCACCTCGGGGTGCCGGGAGCTGCCGGGCGCGGAGCTGGGAGCTCCCGGGATGGATCTGGAGGGGACGGAGGGCAGCGTCACACGGGAGCGGCCCATGGGACATGGAACCGCATGGCCGGRTGTGCCTGGGAAAGGCAAATCCAACCCCATCCCTAGCCCACAGGAGCTGTAGGGTAGGTATCACTAGGGCTTCAAATGGCTAAATGCAGCAGTGATTTTTTTTTTTTTTTCCCATGCAAACCTTTCTCTTACCTCTGGGTGCTCCCTGGGCCGGGGGCAGCTCCGTGTTCCGGCTCCGATCCGGATCCGTGAGCTGCGTGCTCGCAGTTTAGGGCTTGCTGGGCTTGACCCCGCTCCTTACCGCAGGATTTTGCATCACATCCTTCTGCCTCCGGAGCGGTGGCTCCTTTCCGGCCCTGTCACCACGTTCCCTCCCRCCTCTCCCCAGGCTTTGGGCTGGAAGAAGCAGAAATCGCTCAATGCTTTGGGAATGTGCAGGAGGGATAACGTGCATCCTTGCAGGATGCTCCCTGCGTTCCGCTCCCRTTCCCATCCCTGTGCTTTTGCACATTTGCCTGGAGCCTCCCGCAGCATCGGGCTGCAGGAATGGAGCCTTCACCCTCACTGCGAGGAGCTCGGGGGGGAAACAGGCCACTCACCATCTTTTGCCTTAAAATAAAGAGAATGAAGAGAATAAACAACCATGCACAGCCGGGAGTGCCGCAATGCGCTGGTGCAAACTCCAGYGTGTGCAGGACGGGACCCGCGAGTCGCGCGCCAAAGACATCTGTGTGACTGGCACCATCCCGAGGTGGTGTCATCCAAAATGTGGGGGGGATACGGATTTGTGCATGGTCACTTGCAATTCCCAGGGCAGGAGACAACTGGAATAATGGTGCTCAACACACAGCAAAGTGGCAGCGCCCTGGGYTCCTGCTGGAAGAAGAAATGGGATTTTGGCCATTCCCGAAGCCCTTTCCCTATTGCCCTGGAGCCAAAGCAGCTGAGATTCCCGCTCCTGCAGCACCAGGGCTCCGAAGCAGCGACCTCCACGCCAGCGCGGGGGACATCCTGAGGGACACGGGGATCCTGTCCTGCGCTCCCTGCGCTCTTGCCCTGCTGCTGCTTCGCTCCAATTCCATCCTTTTTTTCCCCGGCAGCAGCTCAGCAGGGAGGCACAGAGCAGGTAATTCCCGCTCCTCCAGCGCTAAAGCAACGGGGAGGCTTTAAAAAAAACAACCGAAGGTAACGGGACAGACAGAATTACAGAATTGTCTATTTTGCAAGGCGGGGGGGGACTATTGCAGCTCGCGCTCCCGGCGCGCGCCGGCCCCGCTCCTTCCTCTTCCTTCCTTCCTCCTCCTCCTCCTCCTCGGCGCCGTGCGCGCCTGCGTGGCCGGGGCGGGGGGGGACGTGCGTGAGCGGGGGGAGGGCTCGCGGCGCCCGCAGCCCCCCCGGCGCCGGTTGCGGAGCGGAGCGGAGCGGGCCCGGGCTCGGCGCAGGTACCGACGGCGCGGCCGCCGCGGGGGGGGCGCAGCGAGCCGGGCGCGGCCCCCCCGCCCCAGCGATCCCCTTTTGCACGGTCTCTTTTTTCCATTTTTTTCCCCCTTATTTTTTCCCCCTTAATTTTTAATTTTTCCATTCTTTTTTCCATTTTTTCCCCCCTTAATTTAATTTTTTTTTCCTCCTTTTTATTCCGTTTATTCCCCCCTTCCTCCTTCCCGCGGGGACAGGGGGGACAGAGCAGCCCTGAGCGGGGGGACACGGGACCCGGCGGCCACCCTTGCAACCCCCCCCGTCCCCTCCCGCTGCCAGCGGYGCCCTGAGCCCCTTCGGGGTTATTCTTGGTGGGGAAAATCCCTTAAGGAGCTGCGCGGCCGCGGGAATCCCGAGGGATTTTCCCGGTGGGGAAGAGGAGGCGGGAATGTTTGGTTTGCAGCCGGGGGGGAGTGTTTGCAGCTGGAGGTGATGGGCTGCTTGGGGTTCTGCTGGGTCCCCACGGAGGGGGTGACACCCGGAGCCTGGTGGCAGCGGGMGGCCGGGTGCTCTGCGGAGCTTATGGGCTCGGAATCGCCCTCAAAAAAGGGGAAATAAAASAGAAAAAGTGTCCTTTTGTTAATGCTGAATGAGCTGCACTGGCAAAGTGACTGTGTGGGTTAATGTGGGCTTTGCAGAGGGGGGCCTGGCTGCTGGCCAGTGGCCCACGCCGTGATGCCGGCCCTGGCGTGCGCCGAGTTGCGCGGTCTCAGCAGCAGGCGCCGGGGTGCGGAGCCCTGGTGTGCGGGGACGGCCTGCGGTTCCTTCGGATGTGGTTCCGAGGACGGAGCTTCCTTGCCGCCGCGCAGCCATRCAGGGAGAGTTGGTATTTCCCAGGGCTCCGGAAGGCCGGAGCAGGGAGGCGTGCGCCTGTCCGTGTCCTCAGGCTGTTTTGGGGGTGTTGTTGTGTCATTCCTAGCGCGGGAGGAACGTGGTGCCCCGCGGTACCACCCAGTGCCCCCCCCCCCGGGCATCGCCAGGGGCCTCCCCTCGGATTAAGCGGCTCCGGGGAACAAGACAGACCAGTTCCCGTGGCGGAAACGAGCCGTGCGTGCCCGGCCCTTCCCTCGCCCTGCGGGGAGTTTCCCGTGGTGGAAAGGAAGGTTGTGCCCATGGTTTGAGCCTCTCTGCATGACGGTGCTGCTCCCGGGGTGGGGAGCCTTGGAATCCCCTTCTGGTTTCCTTCCTGCCTTGCAGGATGTTCTGCCCACCCGGGGCAATTGCAAAGGATGGGTTTCCCACTGCAGAGTGGAAGCTGCATCCTGCAGCCGCATCCCGCATGCGGATTCTGCAGCCGCATCCTGCACCGGGAGCTGCGGTGCCAACGCGGCCCTTCTTGCCACGGCTCGGATCCACCACTGGAAACCTTGGCAAAGCTGGCAGCTCTTCCTTCCTCTTCCCGCTCCTCGCAGCAGCATCTCCCATGCAGGATGCCAACAAGATGGATTTCCTGGAGGGCTTTCGGAGTCCCTGTCTTGCTCACCTGCASCTTTGAGTCCCATCCCAGCTCCATGGGATGGACAGGCCCAGAGGAAACTGTTCCGGTGGCTGCTACAAGGAGGCAGCCTGTGATTCCTGCCCTTAACGGCAGTTTTTAAGGATCACCAACCACTCCGGGCTGGAGCGATGCCTCCCTGCAGGACACGGATGCAAGTGTGGGCCTCGGCGCTGTCCCTGCACGGAAAGCCACCCGCCCCGGAGCTCCTAATGCGGATTAGTCACCTTCATAATTCCAGCTTTCCGGATGCAGATGGGCCTGGGGCGCTGGCTGCGGAGGGATGCCCGCTCGCATCCTGCTCACCATGCTCGCTTGGCCTGAGCTCCGTAATTTCATCCCATCTTCCAGGGGAAACGGCTCTGCCTGGGATGCGGCCAGTCCTGGAAAACTCTCCGCTCTTGCACGGCTGCCCCCTGCACCRCAGCCCGCTTGTGTCCCGGGTGCCTGCTCCCAAAGCTGCCATTCCCAAGCTCCCAAATCCTGCGGGGATGTTGCTGGAGAGCCTGCACGTACTTCACRTCTCGGTCAGGAAAGCCGCGGCTTCGCTCCAAGGTGCGATTTCCTTGGCAGCTTTTGTCAAGGGGTAAGTGGGCACTGTCGGGGCCGGCTCGTGCCCCTCGGAAGCAGCATCGCGCGTTCCCTCGGGAAACGCCAGTCCCTGGGAACCGCGGGAGAACCGGGGGATGCTGCTCTCCCGAGCAGAGCCGAAAGGAAAACAGCACAAGCAATGAGCAGTCCTGAGATCTTAACAGCTTCAAAATACAGAGCAAGCTCAAYGCAGCGAAGATGATCCGATTATTATTTTTTTGTCTCGTTTATTTATAACAGCAGCGAGCTACAAATAAGCCGTGTCGTGTCTCCCGTGTCTGCATCTCTGCGGCTCATTACTGCAAGCTCRCAGCGACCTCAGGCCGAAGCAGCAACATTTGCTCCAAGCTTGCAGCCCGAAACCTCTTGGCAAAGGCTCCTCTTTCCTTCCCCGCTCCAATTGCACAGCCCGGGGGGCTCCCTCTTCGATGACCCCCCCAGCAAAGGCGCTCTCCGTCTCCAGCTGGCTCCTGATGGGTTTTTCCTTGCTGCTAACGYTCCCTGGCTGGTGTTTCCAGTGGGAAGATGCAAATTTATTACGTGGTGGCTCCGCACGGGGAATCCAGATGTGTGCACTCGCAAGGAAGCCTGCTGGCTTGTTGTACGCTCCCTTGGCCAGCTATGGTCTTGCAGGACCTGGGAGACACTAGAGCTCGTGGACTTCTTGGAATCCCGGGATTCCTGGCACGGGACAGACCCTGCAGGTCCAAGGTTGCATCCTGGTCACTTGGGGTTCTGCTCGTGCGCAAGCTCGCTGCTCCGGGTCTCGCTCGTGTCTGGGGTTTGCTCGTGTCTGGGCTCGTGCTCTGCGTGCAGCCCTCGCCGCCAGCGCCTCGCGAGGCTGCTGACTTGGCCTGTCAGGCTGCGAGATGTCACCTTCCCCACATGCCACGTGATGCTCAGGCTTAAAATGCTGCTGAGAGACGAGTCAGGCGGGAGGAAAACCCGCYGAAGGGCGCGGGAGGCGCGAGGCCGCCGTGGGCACGCGCTCGTGGAGCAGCAGCGCTGGCTCTGCCCGTGTCCCGGCCTCGCTGCTGCTGGTGGCACCCAGGGGACGTCACCGATGGTGGCAGTGATRCCTTCCCCCCTGCTCCATGGCGCTGGTTCCTTGGGATTCTCTCATCACCGTCCCGTGTCTTGCAGATGCTGTGCACTAACGCAACCYGGGCCAGAAGGACCTGTCAGCTTTAGCCAGCGCGTCCCGTGAGGCCCAAGATGCTGCTGAGGTSCCGGTGAGGGTGAACTGAGCTGCTGCATCCCCCCGGCCCCTCGCATCCCCCGCGAGAGCCATGGAGGCCCCCTTGGACGTGCCCGTGGGGAACCTCCTTGACTTGGACACGGAGACCTCCGTCCCCACGGAGCCCTCGCCGGGGGACCCGGCGGGCGGCGACCCGGCCGCGGAGGAGAGCGATGCCACCGAGTCGGCGGACAGCGAGAACGACATGGGCTACTCGCCCGGGCGCTGGAGCGGCCGCCGCCGCTCGTCCTCCAACGAGTCCTTCTCCTCGAGCCAGAGCACCGAGTCGGCCAAGGACGAGGCGGCGGGCGAGCGCCGCGACTTCATGCGGCGCTACGTGGACAAGGTCTTCACCGGCGGGTGAGCCACGGGCCGTTTGTTTCCAGGCCATTTCCAGGCCGTTTCCAGGCTGTTTGCAGCCGCAGGGGCTCCGCAGGGCGAGCTCCCTGCGTTCCGTCTCGTCAAGTGCAATCAAGCAGCGGGTGATGAGGAGCGAGAGCTGGGGCTGCTTTGCTCGCTGGAGCTGCGTTTCTGCCCAGCTCTGCTTGCTCTCTCCTCCTGCTCTCCCTATGCACCAGAGCRTTGAGGATGCACCTGCATCTTCCTCCCGCCCTCCTCCCCATTGCAGCATCTGGACCTTGCAGGGACCGAGCATCCCTGCAGGAAGGAGCAGCCCCTGTGTCAGCTGCTGCAGGTCCTTGGCTTTAACGCTGTTTTTCTTATTTTTCCCCCCTTTCCTGCTCCAGCGAGGACCTGGACCAGGAAGAGAAGGCCAGGTTTGGTGAGCTCTGCAGCGGCGAGAACGGGAAGGGCAGGGAATGGTTCGCACGATACGTGAGCGCCCAGGTAAGGGGCGACGTGGGCAGAACGTGGGTACGGCGCCGTGTCCCCATGGGGGGCACAGCTGGGGTGGCCGGCAYGGGCCAGGGATCTGGCAGTGCCCAGGGGCACTGGTTTTGGAGGGCAGGAACTCGGGATAAGGGACGATAATCTGTTTAATCTTAGCAGAGTAAGATGCAGAAGTGAACAAATGCATCCTGAGGCAGTTAAGAACATGACGGTTGCCTGGAGGGAGGGAAGTTCCCTATTTTTCCCCTAGAAAAGCAGGTCAGGAATTCACCATGCTGTTTCCCGGATGGAAGCCTGCTCGAAGGAGCCTTCCCGGGGCTGCGGGGCGCTGCGGGGCTCCCCGCTCCGTGCTAACCCGCGCCTGGCTTTGTGCTTGCAGCGCTGCAACTCCAAGTGCGTCTCGGAGCAGACCTTCTATCGCCTCATGCAGTCCTTCGCCCTGGTGCTGTTTGAGTGAGTGCTGGGGTCCAGCCTCGCAGGGATGTCCCCGTTCATTCAGAGGGCCAGGAGAGCCCCGTCTCCAAAGCCACCCTCTCTTGGGAAGTGGGAGCTCGTGCCGAGCATGGCGGGGTGTCCCCTGGGGTTTGTGGCAGGAAAGGTGCCCCTTCCCGGCGGAGCAGATCCGCAGCTGTGGGTGGAATGAGCAGGGGCCACGGAGATGCTTCCATTCCCATTGCCAGGTGTCTTCATCCAGCTCTGCCTCCCTTTCAGGTGTCACCAGATGGATGACTTCAGCCCTGCCAAGAACCTCATGACCATGTGTTTCACTTACTACTACATCGGTAAGAGGCGCCTGCACCCTCGGGCTCTTCTTGTGCTGGAGATGGATGGTGGAATATCCAGGGTGGAATATTCCTGGTCCAGGTGTTGCGGATTCGGAACCGCGCCTGAGTGTGGGTTTGTTGGCTTGGATGCTGCTCAGAGAAGGGTCTCCCTGGCCTGGRGTCTGTGCCCTGCTCCTGGACACGCTCCTCGTGCTGGGAGCTCACGTTGATGTTGGGTCATTGCTTCTCATTGCTTCTCAGGGTATATCCACATGTGGCGAATATCCCTTGCAATCCTGTCCCCAGGTGTCCCCTCACCTTGGGAATGGGAACCCAATCCCATCCCAGCCCAGCAACATTGCCTGGTGCACAACTCCTCTGCAGCACACTCGGTTTTCTACCCAAAATGAGAGCAGAAAAACGTGCAAGGGATGGAGAWGGGATGGAGAGCGGATGGAGAGCGCAGTGCTTCTTGGAGCCTGAGCTCCTGCTGCCTCCCTGCAGGCAAACCGCACGCGCTGCCCTTGGAGAGCAAGGAGGAGAAGCCCATGGGTAGCATCGACTCCTACCTGAAGTCGGCCAACAGCTGGCTGGCCGAGAAGAAGGACATCGCGGAGCGGCTGCTGAAGAACACGGAGAACGTCAAGGGCTTCTTYGGGGGCCTGGAGACCAAGCTGAAGGGTCCCGCGGCGCGGAAGGGCGAGTGGGTACCGCTCCGGTGGGCTGGGATGCGCTCGGGATGTGGCACCGGTGACAGGGCTTGGTGCCACCACGGGGAGGTGGCACGCGGAGATGTGTCTGGCCACCTTGTTGGCTGTGGGGACTGTGATTTGGGAAAATGAAGGTGGTTCCCTTGCCAAGGAGGCTGGGGATTCTGATGTGGGCTGTGGATGCTCTGGAGCTGATGCTGGTTTTTGTGTCRCAGCAGCGAAGGGGAGGACAAGCCAAAGGAGAAGGGGAAGACAACGGGTGAGTGGAGCGGGTCCTCRTGGGACACAGTGGCCACTTGGATACCCACCAGCGATGGTGACATCCGTGCGCGGTGGGAGGTCGAGTGTCACCGGGGTGCATCCCTGTGCGTCCCACAGCTCCTGTGCAGAGCCCCGAGGAGGAGAAGAGAGGAGAGAAGATCTACCTGTACATGCACCTCAAGCAGCAGCCCATCTGGTAAAGCTGCCCGGGGGCTCCAGGGGGGCAGGAGCGGGGCCACCCTRCCCACACCTTCCACATCACCCCAACGTTCCCCATTGCTTTCAAGCTGGTGCCACCCCAGCGAGGGGTGCCCGAGCTTTGCACGTCCCCTTGGCCAGGAAATTCGGGTTTGCAGCCATGTAAACTGGGGTGACAAACTGGGGACACTGGGGGCTGGTGGCGGGGGCTGGCCCTGGGTCACTGCCACCGCCTCCTTCCTCCCTCCTCCTCCTCCTCCTCCTCGCAGGCACAACCTGCGGTTTTGGAACGCCGCCTTCTTCGACGCTGTTCACTGCGAGCGGAGGAAGAGGTCTCCCACCACCAGGTAGGGTGCGAGCCTGGGGCGGCGGGGAAACCCAAAAGCACCAAATTCCTCTTTTTCTCTCTCTTTTCTCTCTTTCTGCCTCTAACCGCTGTTTCATCTGTTCTTCTCTTTTTTCTTTCTTTCTTTCTCCTCCATCCATCTCTCTTGCATGGTCTTTCACACCCAACCTTTGTTGGCCCCGTTCCTGCTGCCACTCCAGAGGGAGCGCTGGAGAGGAAGAGGAGAAGAGGTGTGTGTGTCTGTCCGCGTTCCCTGTTGCTCTGTCCGGCAGGGCCGGCTCGCCCTGCCTCCAAATCCACCCTCGGATTCCATCCTCGCGCTTTGGAAGCAGGGTGCTCTCTACTGCTGCTTTGGTGTCAGCTTTACTGTGTCCCTCCTTGTGCCATTGCATCAAGGTGGTGAAGACCTTGATCCAGCTGGAAAATCTCATCCTTTTTTTCCTCTTTTTTTTTTTCCCCTTGTGCAAAAGGGAAAGGAAATGCAACTGGCATTGCACGTTGCATTTGCAAGCGTGCAAGTGGGTTGCAAAGGCCGAGAGCAGTTGCATCCATCAGCGCGTGCAGCCGCAGGGTGCAGTCTTGGCTGCATTGCTCGGGATATCTGACCTTGGAGCAAATCATTTAAAGGACGGCCCTAGCGAAGGCAAAGGAGCTCGGCAGTGGATATTTAAGGCACACGCCAGCAGCTGGATAAGCCAAACTGTGGGTGGAAAACTCAAAGGATTTGGATGGAGCCGCGTGTGAGGCTTCCCCCCTTTTCAGGCATCTTCCTCCTGTGTTGCAAACAAGAAGCAGGGTGAATTTTTCTTGAATATTTTGACCGCTTTTCTCCCCTTTCCTCCATGAAAAATGTAGAAAATGGAGAAAAAAAAAAAAAAAAGCAAACTTGCTTCCCCTGCAAGTGGGCCAGCAAGCCCTGCAAAGCTCTGCTCAGCTTTCAAAGCTTTGGAAAAAAGATGGATTCTTCTCCATTCTCAGCCTTCAGGTTTGGCATCCCCCAATGCTGTCATGAACTTTATCTGGGAGAAACAACTTTTTAAAAATATTTTTAGAATTCTTTTTAAAACAAGATGTTAAGGTCCCCGGGCCGTATCACTGTAAGCGGCTCAGCCAGGTCCAGCTCGGCAGCTCCTGCTGCATCCGAGCATCCCGATGAGGGCGCATCCCAGTGCGAGCGCATCCCGGTGTGGGCGCATCCCAATGCAGGAGCATCCCGGAGCATCCCTGTCTCTCCTCACTTTCCAGCCTCGGCAGCCACCGCGGGTGCTCGGTCCGAACTTGCTCCGCTGCAGAAGAGCCCCCTTCCCACCAGCCGCTTCCTCCCACACCTCTGATCCCGCATGGAGCACGGGCTGTGCCAGTGTGGCCAATCCCTGCCGTCCTCCTTTTTTTCTCCTCCATATATATAAATATATATTTATTTTTCTTCTACCTATCCCTGCTTTTCTTTCCCTTTATCCTCTTATCCTTGCTGTAACCTTCCCCGACTTCTTTCCACACCAGGGCTGGCTTCACCCCGGAGCTGTAGTTTTCCCAAGGGGGCGTTTGCGGGGGGAAATGGGTTGTTTGCAGGCGGGAGCCAGGGCGTCCTGGGGCAGCACTGAGAGCTCGGGGACGTCGCCGTGTGGCACTGCCTGCGCTGCTCCTGCCTTGCAGGGAGAAGTGGTGCCACATGACGCAGGAGGAGCGCGACGACAGCCTGCGCTTCAACGAGAACATCACCTTCGGGCAGCTGGGGTGAGTGCGGCGGGCGGATCGGGGCACGGATGGACGCGGAGGGGGAGATGCGGCTGTGCTGCTCCAGGCTGTGCCGGGATGTGGGCTGAACTGTGGATAGGTGTTGCCTGCGGGATGCAGGGCATCCCCCATCCGAGGGCATCCCCCATCCGAGGGCATCCCCCTCCGAGGGCATCCCCCATCTGAGATTATCCCCCATCCGAGGGCATCCCCCATCTGAGGTTATCCCCTGTCCAAGGATATCCCCCATCCGAGGGTATCCCCTATCCGAGGGTATCCCCCATCCAAGTGCATCCCTCGTCCAAAGGCATCCCCCATCTGAGGGCATCCCCCATCTGAAGGTATCCCCCGTCCAAGTACATCCCCTGTCCAAGTGCATCCCCATCCAATCACATCCCCCATCCGAGGGCATCCCCCATCCGAGGGCATCCCCCATCCGAGCGCATCCCCCATCCGAGGGCATCCCCCATCCGAGCGCATCCCCCTCCAAGCGCATCCCCCATACGAGGGTATCCCCCATCCAAGCGCATCCCCCTCCAAGCGCATCCCCCATCCGAGGGCATCCTGATACCTCATGCTAAGGGCTCCAGGGAGGATGAGGAGGGTGGTGGGTTGAGGAAGAAGCTGCCGGGAGGTTGGGTCCAGCCTGCGCCTGCCCGTCTCTCCTCAGCACCTTCATCCACAACATGCTGGCCTTCGGCCTCAGCAAGAAGCTCTGCAGCGACTTCCTGAAGAAGCAGGCGACCATCGGCAACCTGGACGAAGGTAGGACCACGACGGGGGCGCAACGGTGGCCCCGGCCACCCCGGGGCCCCCGTCACCTCCCCTCTCCCCTCCGCAGAGCAGTACAAGCTGCTGAGCGACCACATCGAGCAAGTGGCGGCCGAGTAGCCGCCRCGGAGCCGGGGCCACCGCTGTCACCTCCGGGGCCACCCGCCAGCGAGGACGGGCTGCTTGGAATATCCTTACAACAACCCCGCATGATCGTCAGCCCGGCGTCGAGGCTGCCCGTAGCAATAGGAGCACCTTCTCCCTCCCTGGATCCTTCCCTGCCTTTCAGAGCAGACTTTCCCGGTGTGTTTTGTCGGTTAATAGAAGGAGAAGCGGGAAAACAAGCCCGGAGCAGCCCTGCCGCTGCTGTGCGCCGGGATCCTGCGCTGTCCCGCGGCACCTTCCCCCTGAATTCGGGAGAGCCGGGGGGATTGGAGGTTGTGGAGCGGCTCTCCAGGGAACTGCTGCTCCGTGGAAGCCACCGCTTCCTTTTGGCAATGGGCTCGTGTTGCTTTGTGCACCCTGGAGCATCCCAGTGGTTGGAGAAGCAGGCAGCTGTGCGGGAAGCCCTGCTGCCGCGGGGAGCTTCCCCACACCCTCTTTGGAGGGATTTCTTTGCTTTTTGTACATCTCGGCAAGAGGAAAACCGCGGTTTGCTCTACAGCATTAGCCTTGCTCGGCAGGGAATAAGCCATGGCCTTGGGCACGCTTTGGGAGAGGAGGAAGAGGAGCTTGGAGCGCAGGCGGCAGGGCTCGGCGCAGCCGCGAGGCTCCCCGTCTGCTCTTGGTTTTCCCCCTTTTTTCCTCCTCTGCTCTTGTCCTGTTCGCCCRGGTTTCCTGGGAATACCGCTCCGGGTGTCCCGGCTCCGAGTGAGGCTCCATCCCGGCACTGACTCTCTCGGGATCCGGGCACGCTGCTGCTGCAGGGATTTCATTTGCACTTTGCRTCCCCCCGAGGGGACGTCTCCTTGGGGCGCCGGGACAGGACCTGCMGCCTCCGGCAGCCCCTCGCCCAAGCTCCCTTCGGTTCTTCCCCCAAATTCTGCTTTCATTGTTTATTTTTCCAACATTAAAGAAGTTTAGCAGTGAAAAAAGATACTATTTGCATGGGTATTTTTCTAAAAAACAATTGGAAAAACTGCATTTTTGGTGGCCATGCRTCACTCTGCTCTGGGGCTCCCGGATCATGGATTCGTGGAGACGTTTCAAGGCTGCGTGTGGAACTCACGACTTCCATCCCCCTTTGGAGCAGGACAGCGTGAAGGACAGGGTGAGAGAGGCTGCAATAAATTATCTTTAAAAAATGACTCTTATTTMGCAGTTGATATATATATTTTAATCCAATGAGTCTTCTCCTCTCKCCACGCTCATCTTCTGCAGTCCCTTGCACCTTGCTCAGCTCCATCCCCTTTTGCCCCTTTCCTATGGATAACCCATTTCTCTTTCTTTTAGCAGAGAAAATTGATGCCCCTTTTAAAGAAATGCTTGGGTTTGCCCTGGAGCTGCATAGACTGGTGAAAAAGATTTAATTTGTCTTTTCTTTCCCCCTTTGCGCTCCATCTTTGCCAGCCGCTGCGGATCCTGCGCCGGAGCTGGGATTCGGCTCAGGCCCCGGGCTCTGGGATTTCCCTGTATTTAAAAATCAATTAGTCGGTATTAACTTATTAAAAACCAACAAGAAGAAAAAAAAAGAGAGACTGATTAATGGGCTGTGGGTGCATACAAGGGGTTTGCTCGGCACCGGAGCTTGCAGCAAGGCTCCGGGATTGTGGGATCACCTGGTGCCACTGGGGGAAGGACAGTGACAGGCTCGAAAATGCCATTTTGCCCCCAATTGCAGCTGGACACTGTGGAATTTGGTTTCGTAGCCCCATCCAGTGTCTGCCAAGCGAACTGCACAGGGAAAGGGAGGCTGCTCCGCACCCCACGCTCCRGCCTGGCGCAGAAAGTGGCAGCTGTGGCTTAAAATCCGGATATTTCCAGGAAAAAAGGTCCTGTCCGAGGTGACCTCGCCTGCTCCTGCACTGGAAAATCCGCAAGGGCCCGGGCAGGATGCAGGTTGCTGCACTGGATCTCAGCAGCATTCCCAGGAATGTCGTGTTGCTCGGGAGCTGCCGGAGAGGAGCGCGGGTTTAATCTGCTGCTCCGGCTCTGTGCAATTAACTGGATTCCCTCCTCTCGTTTCCTGCAGAGGTTTAATTAAAATGCATTGTTCACCGCGCCAATTAGTTGCTCTGTCCCCCAGAGTCCCCCTCTGGCTCCGAGTTCCTTCTCTTCTTGCTTTTGCAGCTAAGGTTGCTCCCAAAGGAATTTTTTCCCCGGTGGAGCTTCCCAGGGCCAGCCCAAATTTATCCGCATTGGGAGCAGCCTGACCTTGGGGTGCAGAAGGGGAAAATCTTTCTTGGAATAAATCCCAGCCTGGCAGGGGGGTTGCCAAGCCGGATCCGGTGGGATTTCAGCCCCAGGTTCCCGGCAGGCCCCACGCCACCCAGGAATTAGGTTTTCCCTCTTGCGGGCGCTTCCCACGTGGGGCTGATTCCGCAGCCTGCGGATTCCTTTCCCCTGAGCACGCTCGGCTCCACGGCCGCGGGAGGCTGCTCGCTCCCGACGCGGGTTTCAATGGGAAGACAAAAGGGCCRCGTGCTGGAGCACGCCCAGGTGGGAAGCCGGGCATCATCCGCCGGGATGSAGCGGATCCCGGGATGGGACGAGCGCGGAGCGCAGCGCACGGAGGCGGTGCTGGCCGGGAGCCGAGCCCCCCTGCGGGCCCAGGGGCRCCGGATTGCGGGATGAAAACTCTCCAAATGCCAAAATCGGCAGCAGAGCCGCAGCTATAATAACCGGCTTCCCTTCCAGGTTCCCTGCTATTTTCTCGCTATTTTGGCTGGGATAGGAAAATATATTTTGTTTGCTGCTTGTTTTTCTTTTTTCTTTTTTTTCTCCCTTTTCCTCCCTCCTTTTTTTTCTCTCGAGGGCCTTAAAAACATGGAAACACACACGGCGACGCTAGGTTTGCTCCTGCACCGGGGATGTTTGCAGCACGTACGGGCTGGCGGGCCCAGCGTGTGGCTGCGGGTTTAAAGCCCAGCAGCAGAGGCAGTGTTTTCCTCTAGATTTATGCAAAAGAAAGGTTTGCTCTACCAAAACAAACATATATATATAAAATATATATATATATATATATTTTTTTTTTTTTTTTTCTGCTGCTTTTGGTGGCTGCTCCGGTCCAGGAACAGCTCGTCCTGCTCCTGCCCTTATGAATCCACCCCCAGCCACCTCTTGCACGGAGCCCGTTTATCTGCAGCCCGGTGCAGTGCCAGTAAATGGCACATGATGCTCCCATCAATATCCCATCGATCCCACCGCCGGGACATCCGCGCTGCAGCATCCCGGTGCTAAGGGCGGGTGAGGCCAGAGCTCGCACTAACACAAGCAGCTCATCCCTGCCAGCTCCTTGGCATCCTGCTCCAACAAACCCCCGGGATCCAACACGGACAAGAAGCACATTTGGGAGCGCCTGCCGGCTGCGTTCCCAACCTTTCCCTCCTCCGCGGCGCTCCTGTGTTTCTCACTTTTTTTTTTTTCCCTCCCCCTTTTCTCCTAACTGTAAATGCGCCATAAAAGTGGATCAAATTGCTTAAATCACTGTCATTAAATCAGTGTGAGTCCCCCCTCCGCCCCGGCGCGCGGCGCCTGGCACAGAACATTTGTTCCAAAGGCTGAACAGCCGTCTCGTTGCTCGGAGAGCATTTGCTGCTTGATGGAAGGAGGCGAGGGGGGAGGAAGGCAGCCTGCGAGGGAAGCAGGAGGAGGAGGAGGAGGAGGGGGAAGCACCAGGAGCGGCGTCTCCTCGGCCACGGGTGCTGAGCCGGGGGGACCGAAATGCCGGAGGGTGGAGATGCTGCAGCGGGATGCAGGAGTGGGATCATCGCAGAGTGGGATTATCCCCTCCCCGCTGYGGGGATGCAGGGATTCAAGGAGGGTTCCCAGTTTTCCAGGGCCTCTGGAGGAGTCCTGGCGTGGCGCAGTGAGAACAGGATGGAACCCACCCGGCTCGTGGGTGGATGTATTCCCTGGCAAAGCAGGAGCGAGCGGCTTTGCAGCCCTAGGAATGACTATCCCAGGCTGCAGAGCTGCCCGTGTTTGCACGTCGGAATAGGAAGTGTCCRGATATCCCAGCCGTGCTCCTTGGCAGAGCCGGCAGCAGGGAGCTGCGGAGCAGCTGGGAAAGCCGGGGCAGGGCGAGCGCTCCAGGAATCTGGTTTATTTTAGGGGAGAGCAGATGGGCCGCGAGGCCGGTTCCTGGGGGGGAATCGGCCCTGCTCCGGCCCAGGTGGCCTGGAGAGTCCCTCTGGAAGGGGAGCAGGCAGGAGAGCTCGGAATGGGGCTGTGAGCTGGATGTGGATCTGGGCAGGGAGCTGTGCAAGGGCCTGGGATGATCCCTGGAGCCTTTGTCCAGCGGGTCAGAGTGTTCTGGTGCCGGGCGGATCTTCRCTCCTAAGGGCAGGGACAGCTTGGAGTGATGCTGAGCACAGCCCCTTGGCCTCGGTTTCCCCAGGGATGGAGCCTGGCGGGGCCGGATGCTCCTTTGGAGACCTGGGCTCTTGGCAGGGATCCCAAGCCACCCGAATCCTCCCGGCCGCTGTAGCCGCGCAGCCTCCGGGTAGACCTTGAGGGCTTGGACACGGAAAATCGTTTAGATAGCAACAAAATCCCAGAAAATCCTCTGCAGGGAAGGCAGAGCATGTGCGGGATCCTGGTGGGACCGGCTGCCCTGGGGCCAGGGTTCCCATTCTCCCAGCAGGATCTGGATGTCCCCCTGCTTCTCCAGCTGGAAGTGGCTGGTGGTCTCCTCAGGGATCCTGGAGATGCTGCTGGCATCCGTCATGTCTCGGAGCGCATGGGATTCTGCCTGCAGGAAGGAACATCGCTCTTGGAGGCCCTTCCCCATCCCTGGSGTGTTTCTGCAGGGATGCAGGCGCTGGATGCTGCTGCAAGAGRAGGTTTTGGCCAAGGACTTGGTTCCTCCCAAACTGCCCCCAAGCTAAGGGGGATGCTCAGCTAAAAGTGGGAACAGTAACACTCTTTCTGGAAAAGAAACTCCTAGAAGAAGCCTGATGCCAAGGGCTGCAGGGTGATACGGAATGAGGCCCTTTCCAGGCCTGTCCCACTGTCATCCTTCATCCTGGCTTCATCCCAGGAAACGTGGCAGGTCTCATCCCTAAATCCCCCTGGACTGGGGGAGATTTGCAACCTGGGGAYGTTGCATTCCCAGGTTGGGACAGGGGCGATGGAGAAGGATCTCCAAGTCCACTATATCCAGCCGTTCCACCTATGGGAAAAGGGATATTGTCCTCCAAGAGGAAGGCAGAGCTGCCGACATGGACCAGAGGGAGCCAATGGCCCCCAGCCAACACGCCCAGACTGGACCTCAAGGTTYCCCAACTGATGGAGCCCAAAGGGGTCCTGGAAAGACCTGCTTAGGTCCAGGTCTCCACACTCCCCGAGGTGCAGGGCTGGGAATCCCTCCCTTTTGCTTGGAACCACCCCAAAACACTCATCCCCAACCAGGAGATAGCTCCATCCCTTGGCTCAGTTGCWCCCTATGGGTTGCAAGGAGCGGGATGGGGACAAACTGCCCCAAAACGTGTCCCTGCGTGGGGCTGGAGGGATGGAGCGCTCGCCGCTCGCGCCTCTTTATTGCTTCCTCATGGCAAGGCCCACATCTGGGACGTATTTGCTTAGGACCTTGTTAGGGGCTTGTGGTCTGCACCGCTCCTCACCTCGGCCTGCCTGCAGCCCTGCACTTTGGCTAACTCCTCCGCAAGGCTCCCCGGGGCTCTCCGGGTTTGCCCGGTCACGGAGACRCCTCACCGGGAGATGGGACGTGTCGCGGAGCTTGGCCGTGGTCCAGGGGCAGGAAGCCACCAGGGAGCACAAGCGGCCTAAGTGTTTCTCTGCGGTGGCCACTGTCTTCTCCACACGGATGTGGAAAGGCTCCCAAGGCTTCCACGCATCCCTAGGGTGGGCAAGGCATCCTGTTCCGCACGTCTGCAGGCRGGAATGGCTCGCACAGCTGGGATAATCTCCTTGATCACCCCCTTTGCCGCTGAGCATCACCTTGTAAAACCTGCTGATCCCTGCTTGCTCTCCCCATGGACACGCTGCCGTGGGAGACCAGCAGTGCCTTGCATTTCCCAGGTCCTGGAGCTCCGCTGAGCGGCAGCTCCCGCTCGCGGCTGCCAGGGATGYGGTGCCAAGAAATAAATCACTTGCAAGCGGCGCTGGCGCTGGAGCCAGCGGCGCCGCTGAACGCRGGCGGGCTCGTGCCCACCTCCTCGCTGCTAATGAGCTCCACAGCAAGGAGGAGAAGGAACCGAGGCCAGCTAGGAAGAGGTGGGAAGAGCCAAAAAAACGTGGTGATGAGTGYGGGAGAGGTGGGACAAGCCCCAGGTGCAGAGGGAGCTGGCAGCGGTGCTGGAAGGCATGGGGATGAGGGACCGGAGCGTCAGCAGGAGGATGATGAGGAGCACACCAAGGTTGACATCTCTAGTGGGGTGGCCAGGGGGTCTCCTGGGCTGGCCTGG